GCCCATTTAATGAGAACTAACATAATCCTGAAGTCTCACTGTCCACCTCTTTCATGCATGTATTTCATGCATCTTTATTTATTTATAATAAATAAATAATCTTTATTTATTTATAATAAAAACCTTACCTAGACTAAAATTCCATTCATTTCAAAGGGGCTTAAAAAACTGCATTTTCTTCAGTAATAGCTCACTAACAAAACTGAAGCTACCATTAGCAAGATAAAACTCTGGTCTTTTGAGAATCATCAAGAGAAGTGACCCTCAAAGTGCAGAGTTATTGTCAGAAGACCAATTCTAGCTAGTGGCATTTAACAGGACAAAAAACTAACACCAGGCACTCACACTGCATACATGAAGTAGATAGAAAAATACAAAGCACATAGAAGTTTTGTAACCTCTGTTCTATACCACCAAAATTACAACTGAGTAGATTCAAAACACATCTTCAGTCATGCTCAGTGCAGAGTAAGGAGTAGTTACTATGTCAGCATACCAGAAAACATATTTACATATGCAGAATGAGAGAGGAGATCTTGCAGCTATCATTTTTTAACAAAACAAACACTATTCATGTGTGGACTTTATCACAACTCCTTTTCACAAAAATATTGATAGAGAACTCCAGCACACATACAGTTAAATGAACTCGTTACAAAACACTGGTAGATGTGCAACATTTGTAATATTCCATCAATATGCACACAGCATTCTTACAAAGCATCATTTCTTCTAAAACATATTAATAGATCCACTGGTGACAGTTGAAGTATAAAAATAAACACAACCACTCCGTTAAAAAATTAGTGCAAAAGTGAATCCTTTTTTCATATTTGAAAATGTGTTATTTTTTCCAGATACGTTTAATAGTACTATTCTCTTACAAAAAACAAGTCCTCCACAATTCCAATTCCACCTCTGCTCATTCTGAATTGCATGACATATCTGATGTCCTAGTATTCCCCAACCTTTGATCAAGAACTCTTAAACTCTATGTAAACTGAATTAGACAAGTTTTTTTTAAAAAAATCTAGTATTTCTAGCTTTGCTCTAAGTTTATTTAGTGTTTCAGTTACTCCCCATGGTCTCAACACAGTATGTGTCTTATTGAGAGTGATCCATTTACAGCAGTTTCTAAGAGGCGAGATATATCCATCTTAACTCATAATTTGTATCATTAAATAAAAAATCCTAGCTTTCTTAAAGAACAACAGAGCACAGCATTCCTAATGCAACTAGTTATAATTTGGTATGAAGCAGAACTACATTTCTCTAATATTTTAAAAAAATGTTGAAAAATGTTTTCATCTGTCAAGAGAACTGTTCAATTAAACACTGCTTTAAACTTCATAATACAGAGCTGTTGCAAGAGTCCCTTTTCTTCCAACAACTCACCAATGAAAGGCTAAAATCCAGTCCTACCAGTCATTTAAAGAATGTGTGCAAAATAATTTAATCAGAGTATTATGAAGCAGTTAATTTTACTAAGATCTCAGACACTGAAATAATGCTTCCTGTTAAAGGGATACCTGCACTAACCAGTGTTAAAGGGCTAGTGCTAAGCCAATTAAACTCTAAAGTAACGTTCCCCCAAACTTTATTCCAAGAGATCTTCTCAAACATGTTTTTTCCTTAAAAGAAAGACTATGTTGCAAATTTGAAAGCCACTCCAGTTTTTGGGGGGTGTTTGGGTTTGGTGGGGTTTTTTTCTGCACAATATGGAAGACGGTCCCTTTAACAAGGAAGGAGACAGGCATCACTTAATCAGGATGTGGGAATGGAATCTGTACCTATGGGTAAATGGCAATGCGTTCTGGGTTGGTTCAGCCCTTGGTTCTGAGTTCTGTGTCACTTCTGGCGTCGCTCTCTCATCATCTGTCCCATTAATACTCTCTGGTGTTAAAGGAGACTGAATATCCCCTCCAGCTGATTCCTTAAGTAAAACAAACAACACATTAAAATTACAAACTGATCTGCTCAGAAAGGCGCTGTGCTTATAAGCACTAACATTAATTCTTAAATGCTACACAAATTTTAGGTAGTATTAATGTGAGGCTCAGATTTCCAGCATCCTTCATGGTCATATTTCATAATACAAATTTTACTTAGAAGTATATTACCATAAGATTCACATTATCTTGTACAAAACACAGCTGACGTATGAATTATTTGCAAGTATCCAGCCTACTGCGTATTACAGAGCTCTCTCTTACCTTGTATTACATTCAGCCCTCATCCTGCTACATGATGTGCAGTTATTGACACCCAGGATTCTTGTCTCTTCCTTTATATTCCAACATGATGACACAAACAATTCTGGTATTTGTTTCAAAATCTAGCTTTCATATTGTTTATTAACAAAAGTGTCCAGTGGAAGTGCCACTGGTGTGTGTTCACAGTTTCACCTATGAGTTATCTTGTTCAGTAGTGGAAGTGTCACTGGTGTGTGTTCACAGTTTCACCTGTGAGTTATCTTGTTCAGTAGAGTCCTTGCAAAATTTTTGTAGGCACATCACTCTGGTCTAGCTCCTGCTGGTCATGGTATTACCTGGGAAGGAGAATACTCCAGCTACACCCAGGCAGTTTATACCTGAAAAATTTAATGGCTCCCTCCCGGCAGAAGGCACTGGTATGGTTTTAATCACCCTTTGTCACGCCAACATGTACATTTGTGTTTTGGCCAACAAGCACCATTCGATAATTTCTAGTCACTGAAAAGTACTTTTTTATACAAAGTACACCCTCGCAGCCCACATCCTATGTTAGTACATTATAGGCTTTTCCAACCGTGTATGTGGCTTAATTTTAGTATTTTCTTTCCTATTATATTTTTTTTAAAGTAACAATTTTTTTCAGGTGCTAAGCAAGTCATACAAGCTAAGCAGCTCATCTTGATTTTAAAATGTTTTAGTAGGCTTTTAGTGATCAAGTGGTAGCTTTAGCTCTTAAGATAGAAGAGTTTCATGAATAGAGTTCAATTGATGTTATGGAGGTGTGTCTAAACAAGAGGACCACTTGAATTACAGAACATCCAAAAACTAAGCAACTCCTATGATAAAACTGATATTTAATGTTATTAAACTGAAGCACAATCACAGATTCTGGAAGGCCAGCAGCTCCTCTTTCCAGACCTTTAACATTCTGCATAGAAAGCCGAAGAACTGCAACCTCAGAAGGAATTGCAAAGTATTTGAAGATGGCCATGATCTTACAAGATCAGGGTTTAATTTTGAGCTTCCACTTGTAGCCTTCTACAAGTTTACAAGGATAAGGCTTTTTCGAAGTCAATACTGAATGTGACCTTTCATCTATAGGAAATGTCCTTGACTTTGAGACTTAACTAGATGAAAAAACTCAGTTATTTTAAAGAAAGTAAGATCTGGCTGTTACAATCTTCCACACCTTTCTGGTGTCCCTTAACCAAAAATATTGTACTTCAGTGTTTTCATTGCACTTTATATTACATTAAGCATTTGCAGCAAAACAACTGTCAAACTTTTGCTTTTATTCTGCCATATTTATCACAAAGTATCTCACTCTACTACTTGAATAGTAGGTGATACAACATTTTAATACTGACTTCAAGTTCTATTACATTTAGCCTTCATCAAGTTATCCAGAGCACTCATTCTGCACCTTATTAAATCCCTACAGATTTAAAAGCAGTAATTATTAGCTTACACTGATTTAATTTCAGAGATAGAAACTGTTATTTATTATATAAATGTATTTTTTATTATACAGTGCAAATTGTTACCTACTTTCAGGAAGAATCTTGTTATTTTATAGAATTATTATTTTAAGTGTTAATACTAAAAGTCAAAATTAAATCTTGATTTTTACAGAACAATTTTACTTAACTGAAACTGAAGTAAGTATGGAAGGAGAGCAAAGCTGGCAAGATAATAAGGCAAATCAATTCTTTTATACAGATTATATGTGTTTGTCCATTATTATCTGATTTGATAAACACTTTCCACTGACATTAAATGAAAGCCTTCATGGACCCAAGAGTTTCTCTTTTCTTTCCTCCACTTCCCAAACCACACTGGGTATTCTAAAAAATATATACCACACCCTACAAAATCTAGATGGCTTGTATCTTTAAGCTAAAATTCCTACAACACTATTATTAGATACATAAAAAGTCAGAGCTTACCTAATTAAAATGTTTTAAGGGTGAATGCTTAAAAATTATTTCAGCAGAAGAAAAAAAAAAGTGCAAGTTCCACCTAGGCTTATTTTTCAGTAAAGCACTCTCATAGACTTCTAATGTAAATGAAATTCAAGTGACCAAAACTAATGCAGACAAACATCACAGTCTGTGTAATACCTAAAGGTTCACTGCCGCAGATTCATGATTCTGTATGAACAAGAGAAGTATCAGATTCTAGTTTGTATTTCTTCCACCAATAATACAGGTTAATCAGTGCTCTCACACACTCACAACTACCTCTGCCTGATAAATAATATATTTGCAGTCAACTCTAAAAAAGTTGGCTATAAATAAAGCACTAAAGACAACAGAAAAAGCCACTTACACTGAACAATTTATTTACAAATGTTTTCAAATAGTATGTTCCCATATTTTATTAATTAGAGTAAAAGAATTTTAGAAACATTTCTGTGAGATGTTCATATGTAATAAAGTTCTTATTCCATACCATTACAGCTTCACACATCTACTCCAGATTTTTCAGAGTTAGGGAAAAACTTAAAAAGACATTTTCACCCTTCCCTTCTAGCTGTGAGAGCAGGTAGTTCTAACATTCAACTGTATAGACACTATATGGAAAAAAAAACCAACCAGTGCTTAAATTGAAAATGACAAGTTTTCCTGTAAATCAATGATATATTTTAAGGGCTCTTATGTCCCACTCATGACAGCTACAAATAGATACTTCATGCATTTGAAAAGAAAGCATTAACAGCTCTCCTGTGGTATAAAACCACTATTGTATCACAGATCGGTTTCTAGAGAACACTGAACTCACCGATCACTCACCAGTACTGGACTTACACATGGGCTGAGGATTAGTAGTCTTCTAAATGACAAGTAAATGTGAGAGTCTGACTTAGGTATATTTTGCTATTTAAGAGTTTGTTAGAGATCTGTACTGTCTGAAGGAGCTCTAGCCCTACTAAACTTAAATGTAACAGAAGGGAATTCATCAAAAGATGCCTTAAATTTTAAAATCTTATAAAAAAATGCATACACTCACAAAAGAGTCTTTGAAGTAAAACAAGCAGACTTCACAGCACATATCAAGCCACCTTTTAATGATGACTCAATAGGGAATGGAAGAAAAGGAGGAGTAGGTGGTTCTAAAATCATGAACAAAGCAAACTAATTCCAGTTTGGTTTCTTACCAAGAATTATACTGTTTTCTCATTGAGTATTCCAAACACTTCATTGGCATTGCTGTTCTTCATAGTGCCTCTCTGTTCAGTACTGACTGGCAACGGCGTAAGTCCGCCAGCTACAGATTCAGATACCATTGCACATGTGAAACATTTGTTCCACTATATAAATTCATGTAACATCCCAGAAAGCTTTTTCCATAAGCTTTGTAAGTAATTGCTATACTTCTACAAAGGAAAAGTTAACAGGTGATAAACCATGACAATTTTGCCAAAACCAACCCATTCCTTGCAGTAAATAATACTGTGATTCTAAAACTTTTCAGGCAATAGCTATTCCTAATATGCTGCATAAGAGGAGCTCAGAATCACAAACAAGACTATTTTGAGTAAATTACTCACCATGCAATTTAATCTGTAATGACTGGGGGTCAAAAGAAATATCAATATGAGGACATGTTCTTGCTTAGAGAAAAAGAACTGAGGTTCAGACTGCAGTCGGTTGTAAGACTGATTGGGTGAGACTGCAAACAGCACAAACTGCTCTGGTTCTGTACTTGAACCTAATTAAGGGTAGTTTAAAAAAGAAAAAAAAGGAGGGGGACACAGCTTTTAGGCTATTGGTTCATGCAGCTCAGTGAACTTCAGATCAAAGTGCTGCTCTTTCAGTACATAGGCAAGCTTGTAACTGAAAACAGACCATGGATGCCTTGTCACTGTAAGATCCATGAGTTCATGACATCAGCAAGATAATTCCCTATATTAAAAGATGGGTCTGGGAAACAGAAGGTGGCACATCAGGGGAGCCAGTATTTTAGTTTTATATAAACAAGATAAGAGCATTGCAAAGCTTTATGACCTAAGGCTGAGTTAAAGGAAAACCAGATGGGGTACCTATGTGCACAGGTGATCTTAGAAGTACCAAAATAGACAACTTATTTCTAGACAGAAGCCTACAGTTGTACCAGGTATAGATAAAGTTTGTATTTTTATATCAATCTATCTTAATACAGATGGGTCAAAAGTACAAGTTCTCTGACACGGAAACAATACTTTCTTCTCCATTTCAAGAAAGCACTGTGCACTCTGTGGGACTTACACATAACAAAGCAGCATCTCTGGTGTAATTTGTTGATCCTGGCCACTGATTTTCTCTGGATAAGTTAAGATCTTTTTATAGTCAAGGTAAATGGTGATTTTATATATTATCTGAAATTAAAGCAAAGCCTGCTGGTAAATAGGAGGAGAACAGGCAGTATTAAAGAAACAGTAAGAATGCAGAGTTTAAAATTAGCAGCAGCATAGCTTGGGGGAAAAGGGACTCTTGCCATTAAGTAATTGCTAATTGGGCTGTGTATTGTTTTCCTTCTACTGTGTGGTTCACACACACACACATACACACACACTCAAAAGCCAAAGAATACATGCCATCAGATGAAACAGTATATCGAAAAAAATACTCCACACAGAACTACTACTTCCTGGCCATTGAGGCACTTTTCCGGCCTAGAAATATCTACCCAAACAGTATTGACATTTTGCTAAAGCTCTTAGCACCTTAGAGAAGCAGCCTAACTGCAGTGGACTTTTGGTAAGATTCTTCTTAAGTTTTGACATGGCTAACTCTGGTAAGCACTTGAATTACAAATACATATTCTGTTTCTGAGTTATATCTTGTTTTCTATTTCTTCACAAAAGGTTTTTGCAAGACATTCAGAATTGAAACTCACACGTACCAGTAGTATTTGCAGGGTCACATCAAATGATAGTGAATAGAAACTACCTCAAGCAGGGTTTTGTTACACTAGTTCTAGAAGTATTTTAATAAAGATTCAATTTGTAGGGATATAATGAGTGCAGAAAAAAGCACATGTACTGTTTCTCTTCTAGAATTGTGTAGAAGAGAGGGTGGGCAATGTATCATATCTGGTACTTTAATTAACTGGTAAATAATAAGGGTATTTTTAAAGCAGAACTAAGAAAAATATAACATTTTATCGAAGTTTGACCTGTATATTTTACAGTTTTGATATGCAGTGTCTTCCTACCTGTTATTAATTTAATGCAGAAGGTTATCTGCAAGTCCAAAACAGCAGAGGGACTGACACTTGTAGCTAACCAGGTTACCATTACAAAGCTCACTATTCACATGCCTTTTCTGTCGAAGCTTCCCAGAAAAGTCAGGTTCCTGTGAAGTCTTAACTGGCCATTGAAAATACGTCCTTCCTCTTTTACCCTCCCTCTCCACAAAGTATCCCTAATGCAAAAGGGAAAAGAGCTGTAAAATGATTGAGAAAAGCAACACTTGAATTATTTGCCTTGCAGCCACTTTTTAGCACACGATCAAAATGACAGCAAGTGCTCCTTCAAGTGTCTCTGGACCTATCTTCCGCCTAGTCATAAATCTCTTTGAATGAGCCCCAGTGTCACGTAAGTAAGTGCTCATATTTGCCATGAAGCCATCGCTTCTCATCTGCTCCAAACTCTTAAGTTCCCGATTCAACTCCTTTCTCTCTGGGGAACGAATAAGCATTAAGTATGTGAAGACTATTATGATGATGTGTCAGCACTTGCACTAACTGTAGCTTTCAGAATAATACACTAACTTATCAACACAGTGAAAAGCCAAGAGATGAAAACTAAGTTCTGAATATGAAATTATTCCTAAGTGTGCAGTAATTAAATTGCAGCTCTCAATGTGCATTACAGAATCGTTCAAGGTAACAATTCTGTAACTGCCTACAGTATAAAATGTTAGGTTCCAATTGTAAAAGGAAATCTGTACAGGAAAATGAACAATATTAATAGCACCTACAGTTTGAGAGAAAGCTTTAACCCTGGGCAGCTGCTAGACAAAAGCGTCTTGTCTCTGAGTGAGTAGTTCAAATTTATGTCCAAACCAAATAAGTCACTCCATTTGACAGTGTCAGATTTAACTTCTGAGTCCAGACTACTAATCAATATGTCAAGAAAGAAGCACAGTAATTGTTTTGTCCATAATATTGAGTAACTAGAAGCCCAACTGAAGCACTGCACTGTTTCTAAAGCCAAGTGTACACTAGGTTATAATACTGAAATACTTACTTCCCTTATCTCTGTGTTTGTGTATGGAATTTATCAGCAATTTAGATACAGACAAGAAAACTATTTTTTTAAAAAAAGAATGTCTTATTTTTCACCTGTTACAGTAGAGTAAGCAGTTTCCCATTAATAGCAAAAGCCAACCTAGCACTTGGGCAAAATGCCTACTGAGAAAACAACATGAGGTTGGTTCATTGTGTATATTCTTGTGGTTTCCACTGACTTATCTTGAAAGGACATCTTTGATCAGGACCATAATACATGCAAAGCACCCAAGAGATGCACTGATCCAATGAACAATGACTCCCCAGAAAAGAAGACTCAGTTGCGTTAATCCTAAAGGAATCCCTGCCATAGTTTTATAGCTGCTTCATCCTCCAAGAAAAGGAATTACCTTTTCCTTCACTATTGCTTAAAACAAAGCAAACAGCTACACACAGAGCCAGAAACACTGGGCTGCAGGGCAGGACTGAAGGGGCATAAAAGACTCATGCAATTTCTTTTCTCAAAACAACTTCAAAGCATTAATTTTCAGGTAAACTAATTTTAGGCATGACTAATGTAAAAGTGACTATATTAATTTATCTTCTTGTTAGGGCTATATTATCACGTCTTGTGATATCTTTTATAAACTGTTCCTTTACATCTGGCTGTTATAAAAATCCAGAACCAGTATGTGAATCTGTCATCTTCATTCAGCACATTTCACAAGTGAATACTACACAGTAGGAAATAAGTAAAAACAGTTTGCTGTTTTAACTTTGATTGTTGTAGTGATTATTCTATGAAAGTCCTTTACAGTGCACTGCCTGAAGTTTCACAGGTACAATAAGAAAAAAACATAAAAGGTGTTTACTATAGATTTCCTTATATAACTGCTCACCATGGTTACCCATTTTCTGGGGAAAGCTCAAAGGAAGGAATGGGAATAAACTAAAGGCCCATTTTATTTTAAAGCAAGTCACTTTGATGCTTCTGTAGTGTACGTTAAGTGTCTTTTTAGACTTCTTGACGCTTCCAGCTGACTGTTGAGAGGATTCAGGGTAACTGGGAATTACCCCATTCATTTTTAATACAACATGTGTGTGTAAGATACAATACAGTAAGCAGCACAGATGTGAAGTACAAGGCTTGAATCGGGCAATAAGACTCACTTGAGAGGGTGTACTTGTTAGCTCCATCTTTTCTTGGGATTTTTCCTTTGCTAGTCGTGCAGCTTCTTTGAATTCCTGAAATTTTTCAGCAAACTGAAGGTACATATGTTTCAAAAAAAAGGAAAAAGAGAAAGAGTAGACATGAAGTAGTACTTTACATGCAGAACAGAATGCTGTACTTAACATTTTACGAAGTCAAGTTCTGTCAGAATTTTTAAGTTTTTCTCCTTATTAGATACTCATTTAAGTGAGTTACACAGTGATACACCTTTCAATACCTTTCAGACATAACATACACTGTTTATATACCAGGAAAATTATGATGCAATGAAGTTTGATCTGCTGCTGATAGTGTTAAAAAACCTCACCTCAAAGATAGCTAATAATAGTGACAAGCTGCCTTACACAGCTGCTTTCAGATTCAGGTTTTACTCTCCTCTTGACAGCAAACAAGCTGGCTCTGAAGCCTATTGTGGTCACTGTTAGCACAGAGCTATCAATGGGCTTCATTCTTTCATGACTGAAACAATACTGATTTCTTCCCAAATTTTAACAGCACTTATGATGTCAATAGCTAATTAGGAAAGCAGCAGTGGGAATACCGAGTCAAGTTCATTTCTTGACTGTTCATTGACATCAATCAAGTTAAAGAACAAATTCATTGAACTAAACATTTGCATCTACTGAACACTAATCAAAGAACTGCATATTGAACTGCCATATGAAGCCTGATTTCTATGCTACATGTACCTCTTGCAGCAAATAACTAAAGCAGAAATTCAGAAGTACATGTACCCTAAAACGTGACAGATTAAATCAATTTATAAAGAATAGGGACTAGTTTATCTGGCTAGAAAAAATTTTGGCTTCATAGATCTCAGCTTGATGCTACACTAATTGCTACAGTAGTCACACATTTGTTTTTGTTTCCTACTGCTTTTACACAGAACATTATCTTATTATAAACAGCTTAGGACTGAAATGTTTCTGCAAAAACATTGGAAGCTTCATCAACAGCTCCTAGATCTCTCCAGGAGCAATATACAAATAAATTGTTTTGCACTGTCTGTATTTAGAAGGGACATAGGCTACCCTTTTTGTAACACAATCTCCTCAAGTATTTTCAATCAGAACTTCACTTGCCATGCAAAACATAAAAAACTTCATTGTCTTTAAATGTCCTGGTAGGCTATTAGTATTTGATGAAATATAATTTATTTCCTCTTGCATCCTATATTTTACCTGTCAACCTGTTTAAAAGCATACATTTCCTGAATATAGGAGACAGAAGATACAACCCTGAAAGTCTAATCCAGCATCAAAAAACGTCTCAGAACAGATGATAAAATTGGCAACAGATCATCAGAACTATAAAATACTTATTTATGACTTGTACATAGACCTCAAAATGTGATGGGTAGCCTATTATTTAAATCAGCTTTTAGACCTGAGGATTGGTAAATGGAAAACATGATGCTGAGGTTTAGAATAAATGGCTGAAGACATACAAGGTAGTACATATGACATTCTGTATCACAGTGGCAGAAACTGTAAAAGAATATATAATAGACAGATAAATAGATAATGTTCTAAGAAAGAGCAAACAAGGTTAATGTAGTAGAAATTTTCACAAATTTACTGGAATTCCTTGAAATAGTCAGGTGACGGTTAATAGCAATCTCTTGACAAAATTCTTAAATAACAAAAATGAGAACTCATGGAATGAAAGGAAAGGTTCTCTGGAGAATCAATATTTTAAAGAAATTATTAAAAAACATGCAAGGAGACTACAAGAGCACTTTTGCCATTTAGCATACTCTTAAATTATATGGAATAAATCAGGTCAACTAATTCAAATGGGTCAGAGAGCAAACCTGAAAAAGAGTATTTCTTCTCATATATCAGGATACTATCAAAATCAGAGACATATATTTAATGAGAAAGTCATATGTTTTTTTCTGAAAATCATGGGACATTCTGTTCCTCCTACTGCTGCAGCAAGAGGGACCTTGCTAGTGAATCCTAATCCTGTGCAAGTAACATTCTTCAACATAAAAATCATCTTTCAAGTAGCACTGACTTCTGGTGGAACAGCTTTGAGGTGAATTTGTGGTCTAACATCTTGAGAAAAGGCTTAATGAAGATAGATAAATGTTTAATTAATTTTCTTCTATACTGCTTGTAGGAGAAGCTCATTAGAGTGCCATTATTTTTCTATAAGATACTCTCACTCAGCTAATTTTTAGTCACAATAATTGGATAGAAAGAGGTTACTGCTGTTGTACTCTACTCTAGTAATTAGTTTAGGAGGACAAAGGCACACAAACCAAAAAAGAACAGTCCAAAAGTCAAACATTTGCTACAAGGTAAGCAGACAATAATCTGAGAACTAGCCATTCATTCTGTCTGCTCTGATTACTCGCTTTGTTAACCTGTTGAAATCAGCCACAGACCAGACTAAGTTTTTTGTGGTTGGAGGCTGTTTTTTGCTCATTGGAACTTGAAATATTTCATTGGGGCCCAAAGACACTACTGGAAAACAAATTACATACAACAGGGCTGTTCACTTAAAAACTTGGATAAATCAAACACAGAAAAGAAGTTCCAGAATCAATTTTTAAGGCAACTTTTAGAAGCAACCTGTTTCTGAACAAATCCATTAATACAATGTATTTGTTAGCCTTGTTATTAATATGCAGTAGTACCAAGAGCCTTGAATTGGATTTCATGTCATACAGTGCTAGGTGTACCAAAGAGTGCTCTGGTAAACCTGACTACAATGCCAGTGCACAGACATGAGAGATAGTAACCTGAGCAAAGAGAAAAGACAAGAAAGAGAATATAGATGTGATTTCTCTAAAACTACACAGAAGATCCAGGGTTTCTAATTCAGTTTTTCTGATTCCAAGACCAACATACCTACCAAGACAAGTGACTGAATAGAATATAATCTGAAGTTTCCTTTCCTCCAACAAAAATGTCTTTTAAATTTAAACCACCATCAAAGGTTTTACCTTTATGAATTTTAGTAGCAATGATCAGCAAATTCAACCCACATGAAAATTAATTTGATAATTAAAACATAATACAACAGGAGCAGTTTGCTGAAAAAGTTCTGAAGATTCATCACCATAAGCCTCAGAAAAGGTCTGTGACTTTGTATTTTTCTCAAAAGATCTGCATATTCTTTGCAAAACATAGCAATCTGAGTAGCTGCTAATCAAATACATACTTAAGACAAAATATCTACTGTAGCTTTTCAGATTATTTTTTCAACAGCAATATAAAGTTTTAAGACAAGGGCATACTCAAAACTCTTAGACATCCATTTGAGGGCAGTGAGTGTGGGATTGAAACAACGTAATTAAGAAGGCAGTAAGTAACACATGAGAAGAGCTAGAAAAGAGTCTACGATAGGACACATAAAAAACCAGAAATATTGTCACTGGCAAGAATAACCTAGTGTTTCTAGTCAGGAAAACACAGAGTGTGCATGACTACAGAAGACTACATCCCTCCAAAGAAGCATTCTGTGATTAAGAAAAACAAACTAGTCTGTGAGAGCAGTAAACCAAATTAGCATTTATGGCAAATCCATGGAAATACTAAGAAAAGTTACTACCATGTTGGTAAGGAAGTGCCTCTAGGACATACACACCAATTTAAGTAAGTGACAAAGCTTCCAAGTTTACTGAAGCAATGTCACAAATGCACATGCAGTATTAGTATAATTCAGAATTTTCTGTCTTTGTGTTGCTTCATGGAAATGAAAGCTATCCGATTATGAAAGGAAGAAATCTTACAAGTGTAACACTTGTCCAAATAAAGCAGATGTACTGGTTCACATTCTAATGGCTGGTATGATTATTTCTTAAATAACAAGACAATCATTATTCCTTCCTTAAACATGTACTATACATTCCTTTTATTGTACCTGGGTTTCCATGTCTTTTGTATATTTCAAAGATCAAAATTCTCTGCTTAATGTGGAACCATGTTCTTACACTAAACAGAAATTCTTCATTTGAAGAAAAACAACACTGGCTTGTACAGATTCCTAGTCTCATCTACCAGAGTATTATCAATAGCAATAGGTATTGTAAAAAGGGTGCTCAGAGAAACTGTACCATCGCTTTGAGAAACAGGGTTACTGCTTTCCCTGGAATAAGACATATTTTCCTCTTGCACAAGTAGACCAGAAAAAAAACCTCACGTATGGCACAGAGTTTCTTTAATAAACATTTCATTTAATAAACAAGAAGATGGAGTTTTCTTTTACACTGAATATATTTCCCACTAGCTTTACCTTAAGCCTGCAGACATTGAAATACCTGTAAATCGATGCACTACATTGTAGAAAAGTGAAAATGAATGTGGTTTAAAAGACAAAAATGCATCTGAAGACTACCAACAATTTTCTTAGGAGATCCAAATACAGTAGAAACACTAACTTGTCTACTCCTTCAAATTCCATAATGAAAAACTGTAATGGAAGAACAACCTTAAAAAAAAAAGAGAAACTTAACAAGTAAGTAATTGGAAACCGTTAATGACATACACTGTGATAGCTTAAATTTCCCTCTTTTCCTACATCACTTAAAAGAAAATTTCCAGTTATCACACTTTGTCTTGTTTTTTTACATTATAAGAATCAATACAGAATATTTCTTCGTAATTTTTTTTAAATAACAACAGTAACAAGCACTAAGTCAATATACAATGAGCGGGAATCAAATCTGCTTAAGTCACTTGACTAGCTGAATAGTTGCCACTGGTCATACTTACTTTTGACAGGTGATGTTCAGATGAAAATCCCAAGCCATAGACTGTATTTGCCCTGCTGTCTGCCCACTGGCCAAACTTCTGGGATGTTTTAGTAAATGTCATGTTGGGGGTGATAGTGCTATTTATTATTGCCTGAAAAAAAGTAACAGGTGTAAAAAAAGCATTTTGTGGTTTTGCTTTGTTTTCTTTTTAAGACTACTCATAAATGAAAATACCAGTACTGTAGCCAGGTTTCTGTGCATGCTGAATGAGACAAACATTGGGAACTAGGGAACAGTTTTCTAATTCAATCACAGCTAAAACTGCAAAAGCATATTTTTGCATATATTCTGCAAAAGGAGAAAAAGCTGGGGGGGGCACTTGTTTGCAATTGCAAGCAGTCATTTAGTAGTTAGCAAGTCTAAAAAAAGTCCTTTAAAGCATCTCCATAGGCTAATGAGATCAGAATAGTAAAGTACTTTTTTGTCTCACAAGTGTATTTCTCTGTCCCCTAAGGCAACATTTCTCAGGCTTCACTGTAAGCTTCACTGTTGCAGCTCCCCCCACCCCTATTGCATATGCGATTCTCACTGGAAAACATACAATAAAGCAAGAAGCACAATTTCTTTTTTAAGTTTCTGTATTACAACAAGCTGTTTTTCCTTTACACAGACAACCATGCCTAGCACTGACAGGGTCATACATTAACTAATCAAGAAGTGCTACTCTTAGAATAATTTTTCTTCTCTAGTTGTTATAAACAGGATGGAATAAACACATCCCCCAGCATACAACTTCAGCTAATGTAAACAAAAAAATGCAAATATTAGATGATAGGCAGGTTCAACTAAAAGCAACTGAAGTTTTACCATGGATTTCAACAGTATTTCCATCACATCAAAGTTTGTCTAACATATTCTAAACCTGCAATGTGGAACTGTCCAGCTGACTTAATGACAAGCTAAAGATTTATAGTGACAACAACAAGTTCATTTAACTACAAAACTGATGTTTAATACAGTTTATAACCAGCCAACATGGGCAAGAGAGACTAGCCATAAACCCAAAGATATATGTATTTGAAGTATATCTTTCTCATATATCTGGTGCCACGAAGAGTTTCAGCCACATTTGTTAAATAATTCACAGCCCTTTTCATTAATTACTGGTGCTTTGTAACACCCACGTGAAAGAGGACTTCCTTAAAACTTCCCAGAAAATAGCACATACTGTGAGCAGAACAATTCAGCAAGAATCTTTCTTACATGCCAGTTGCTCTGCTCCAAGTATTATTGCCAGGATGTGTCCTACTGCAGCTGTCTTACAGTAGTGAGCTGGGAATCTTTTGAACATCAGCATGCATGTTTTCTGCATCCATGAAATCATAACCCCTGTCTTAGCCCTGGCAGTTCAAAGTCAGTGATTTCTGAAGAATCCTAAAGCAGCAACAAAATCCAAAGGGTCCAAACCAACAGAGAAGGCAGAGTTACTGAATGCCTTC